AAAAGTGCATTAACGAACATCTTGTATGGTTATATTAGATAATATATGGCAACTTGAAAATTGAAGGATAATCGAGAAAACTATAGAGGATTACTGGAATGACACAATAATGTGTTTAATGATAAAATAGTAATATTTTTTAATAATTTTACAATAACTGTTATTTTTGTTATTAGAAAATCAGTGCGTTTCTTTTATTCAATGTTCTCAATTTTTGTTGTTGTTTGAACTTATATTAATTTAAACATATGACGTTAGACAAGTATATAGAGAATCCACTCGTTGCATTATGTAAAATAATTATGTTACATACGTATCACCGACATCCATTTTCAGTGAAATCTTATTTAATATATAATGTTCAACAATAATATATATGTGCTTACATTATATTATCTCACAATAATACAGTTTTATTTATGTAGAATTGGCATTCGTTAATTTTATTGAATCCTATACAGGCAATAAAATCTTGTGTAAAGTAGCTCAATTTAACTACACCTATAAATTCATTCATTTTTGTATTACTGTAACATCATGCTTCAATGTAGACCATTCTTCAACTGAAACAAAGACAAATATATTTAGATCGGCGAGACAGTTATTACATTTTATCTAAGAAGACAAAATGTAAGAATATTTGCATTATCTTTCTTCTTATAAATTAATATTTACTTTGTAGTTGGTCTTCTTGATGGCTCTGAAGCAGTGGGAGGTGGTGGAGGACCTCTGCGTGCTAATTCTTCTAGATAACCCATTAATAACCGAGTCCGTTCGGTGGCGGCAGCTTCGAGTACAAGAAATCTTCGATCCTTTCTGAGGATTTCTTCGATTTCTGCTAGATGCGAACTATTTTCTTGAACTTTTTTGAACGTTTTATCAGTGATTAGTTTTGTTTCCTGAAAATCGCATTTTGTAGCAAAAACTATATCAAAATATTATATATAAATATATAAACGTACCTGTAGAAGCTCTCTAAAATCGGCTTTGGCAGCAACAAGTTTGTCCTTAATGTATTCTTTAAACTCCTTCTCGCATTTCTAAAGAAGCAAAATAATATATGCATACAAAATATAAGTAATAATGAACAACCAGTAATAACAAAAAATATTCTGAATCAGCATTTACTTTTCACAGTTATATTGACGATTATTACATACCCGATCACTGGAAGAGAATTTCAAGTATCTAGGATCATCCTTCAACAATTTCTTAATGTCCTTCCAGGATGCTGTTAATTCGGTTGATGCGCCTACTTCGTCGAGCAACTCCCGAAATTTATCGCGTTTTTTACGACCTAATTGCTCGATGTGCTCGTTAAACAGTCGTTCTTTCTCCTCGCGATCTAAACTTTCAGCAAGTTCCCATCTATGGTCCTTTCTAAGTTGTCGCTTTGCTTCTCTCCATGCCAGATCACCGTTTCTAACCTAATTCAAGCAAATATTCAAAATATTGTGAGTATCAATGAACATGAATGACTATAATCATCTTATCAAAAATATTATGCAATTGAAAATAATACCAAGTCAGCAAGAAGTGCACTGAAGTGTTGAACCGCCTCTGTATGACGATGATGCTGTCTCTCTTTATCCCTATCACGAAGATGCGTAGCAAGGGTCCTTTGCACTTCTCTTTCTCTTTCTCGAAGACTGACTTCTGCCCGTCTTTCACGTTCTCTTTTCTGTTTCTCACGATCTTCTTCTGAATCAGAATGATCATCTCCCTCTTCCTTCTGAATCAAGAGAAAAAGTTTATTTTATATAAAAATGAAAAAATTGCGAAAGTTTGAAAATGTAAAAAAATTAAAAGTGTAAAAGAAAAGACAATATTATTAATTGTTCTTACATCGTTCTCTTTTTTTATACTTTTGTCGTCACTTTCTTCGATTTCCCCGCTCTCTTTCTCTATCACTGTTTCTTTCTTCTCCCTTCCGTTTTCCTCCGCAGGCGCTTCACTTTTTCGTTGCTTCTTTTCCTTTGTATTATCTTTGTCAGTTCTATCTTTATTAGACTTCGTCTCTTTACCTTTGTCCGAATCCTTACGATCTCTATCCTTCTTTTCCGTCTTGTGATCTTTTTCTCTGTGTCGATGGTCTTTGTCTTTCTCCTTCTCCTTTTTCCGCTCATCCTTCAGTATGCGAACATAATCTCTAAACCAATCTTCCCGCGTGCTCGCCGACTCTACGACTCTGTATCTCCAATCCGATTCCAATTTTTTCTTACAATCGCTCCAATGCGAATGTCTGTCGATGTCTTTGTGCTCACGTAGCATCGCAAAGAATTCCTTTTTCACCTGAAACGCATTTAACATAAGAGTTTTCATCGCTGAAAAATGATTACTGCTTGCTTATGTACTATTATACAATTCTTTTGGTTTTAAGATCAGATTTTCTTGGCTCTCTTATATCATGCACGCTTTAATAGTATTTCCAACCAATTATTACACGCTCAGCCACATTACAACCACTTTTATAAACATTTATAATATAATGATTTGTAATGTGGATCAAACTATTTCAACTTGCAAACCTTTTTTAATTGGTTTTCAAATTATATTTCGTTAGGGGTAGAGAAGAAATAGTCATTCATGTTCATTTGTATCAGGAAGTATCACAACGTTAAGGGCTCTATTTTTTGTCGGATTTTTTTTTTATTTTAATGTACTAAGCTGGTTCATTGTGGCTGAAAAAAATTGACTTATTATTCCTGTAAAAATGATAATCATGTATTATGTAACCAGTCATCATTAAATATATAGTGTTAATGCTATGCTCACATTAAAAATAATTCAAAATTGATTTAACTTTTAATCTTTGAGAAAAACTGTGTCCATTATATCTACATGATATACTCGCATTTAATGATGACTAGAAGTGTAAAGTAAGTAAATGTTTGACTGCAGTCCTTGCTGAAACGAAAAAATGTGGTTAGTACATTATTATTATTATTATTATTATTATTATTATTATATTAACTCCGAAAACACTAGAAGCTCGCAGCCGTCCAAATTACGAAACGAGTTTCCATCTATTTATTTTTTTCTCCTATATATTTGCTATACTCTAAAATATCTTTCGAAGAACCCATAATTTTATTAAACAGTGTCACGTATTTTATAACACGTCGCATCGTTTAAAAAAATTGTAACGCAATTTTTTTTTTTCTTAAATCGTATGTTTTTTTTTATAAAAATAACCATAGAAATTCTTTATTGAATTAGTGCTATTAAAAAACGTTATCTTATTATTAAAATATAAAATATACTTCTCACTCCTAAGCTTAGATACTTATAAATTATAATACTAAAAATATTATAATCGAGCAAAATTAAATACAACAGACAGATTTGTAAATTGTCTGATCTATGCAACATAAACCCAAGAATTATTCCATAATATAACTTTATTTCCGATTCCCATTGCGTAATTTGTAAACGACCAAAACGAAATTTTGTGCGATAGCTATGTTGTGTTGTATTAAAAAGAAACGTTTAGATGATATTATTCAATAAATGATAATCAAAAAATGATTATAATTCAGACGATGGCACGTTTTCGTCTTCAGATTGCCACAACACTCGTTACTCGGATCCTGATCCTATGAAAAATTTCAAGATACTCAAAAATTTGTGCCGTAACTATTAAAACTTGCTTCTTTATCCGATTGAAATTATTATAAAAATCCACTTGTATTACTTTTAGAACAAAAATAGTCAAAATCCTCAACAAAGTATAAGCCAAATATTTTATAAAAATGCACACTCATTTTAACTGTGCCAAATCTAATTTATACTTTTACATTATAATTTTGTATTATAACTTTTATTGCAATCCTCTAAGATATATATCATAATAAAATTATAATTTCTTTTTGTGTATCACTAAGAACGAGAATCTTTGAGAGAATCTTAAAAATGACTTAGTAATTTATATATTTTTTTGGAAAGTTGTATATAAAAGTT